AAAAAAAGAAAGTAAAAAGCTGAAAATTAAAACAACTGGAGGGCCAGCCATATAGCTCAGTGCAAGCAGGTGCAGGGTCTGGGGTTCGATCCCCGGGCCTACCGGGTGGGCTGAGATGGCAATTGAGATTGGGCATGGCACGCCTGGAGGCTATAAACAGGTGGATCACTATCAGTCTTATATAACAGTGAGATCCTGAACACCCTGTAGACTGTTCCCCAAAAAAAAAAAAATACAAAAAATACAAAAAATAAAAATAAAACAACTGGATACCACCTTAACTCCTGGAATGACCAAATCCAAAATGTTGACACCGAATGTCCACAGTGATGTGTAACAGCAATCTCCTCCGATGTTGGTGGGAATGCAAAGCGGAGCCATTTTGTCACTTTGAGGGATGGGTTGGCCATTTCTTACAAAACTAAACACTTTCTTACCAATAGCAATGTTCATAGCAGCATTGGTCATAATTACCAAAACCTAGAAGTGATAGTCACACTTCCCAGAAAATGAATGGATAAAGTTTGTATGTCCACTTGACAAAAAAATAGGTTGCACTTGAAAAACTAAACCAGGAGTGGTGGCTCACACCAGTATTCAGGAGGCCGAAGCAGGAGGATCACTATAAATTCAGGGCCAGCCTGTGCTACACAGTAAGTTCAAAGCCACCCTGAGGTACAAAGCCACAGCCTGTCTCAAAAACAAACACCGTAACGAACAAATGAATAAACAAATGGAACTCTCAAGCTACTAATAGGCCATGAAGGACATTTACAAGCATATAAGAAAGCAAAAGAATTTGAAAAGATTACATAATATAAAGACCAGCCAGGAATGGTGGCACATACTGCCACATAATCCCAGCGCTTGGACGGTTGAGGCAGGGAGACTGGTGACTGGGAGACCGCAAGTTCTAGGCCAGCCTGGGTTACACGATGAGTTTAATGCCAGTCTGAACTACATTGAGAGATTCTGTCTCAAAACAAAACAAAACAAAACAAAACAAAACAAAACAAAACAAAAAAAGTGAAGGAGAGAAATAACAACTGGGCTGAGACAGATCGGGGGCGGCCAGGGCAGAGGAAGGGATGCGCAAGTGGAGCTCAAGCATTTGAACCAGTGAAAGTACGAATACGGTGGTGATGAGTCCGTGGCATCACGTAGGTGTCCTGACCCATAGCAGGGCCAGCATCACAGCGGTGCACAGGTGAGCCCTGGGAAGCAGCTCCCATTATAATAAATAAACCACGCTGTCACCGCATCCGTCAAGGTCCCGTGTGCGCAGGGACGTGAGGTGCGCGGAGTTCTGCTTTCCACTCACCCTTGCTGCGAACTCACAACTCCAAAAATAAAATCCTTTTTTTTTTTTAATCTGAAAGTCTTCATTTAAAGGGTGCAAAGATGAAACACAAAGAGCAAAATGCGTTTTAAACATAGTTAATATGGGCAGTTTATAAAATTCTTAAGAAACCTTTATTAGGAAGCTATAAAGGAGGCACGTAACTCGAAAATCTCGGCAGAAACGGGATGGGACCTAGCGCAGGGCCAGGCCCGGTGGCCACGCCCAGGGGGCGGCCGGCAGCGCAGGGGAAGAGGAGCAGCCCACCTGGAGGGCCGGGTGAACCTTGCCTGCTCCCGCGCACGTGGCCAGCACTTCCTCTTCCTGAAGCGAGGGCTCATGGGAGATATGCAAATGTTCGCAGGGCACCATAGGAGTCCTTTAAAGGCCGAGGAGGGCGGGTCCACCTCGCTGGCTCCTGGGAGCTGGAGCTCGGTGCTCGAGGCTCGAGGCTCAAAGCTCAAGGCTTGGAACCAGGTGAGGGGCGCTAGGAGGGCTCGGCGGCCTAGGGCTGGGCAGAAGCCCAGGGAGAAACCGGTCCGTCAGTCCTCATGGTCAACTTGAGTCAGGGATTGTTCTCGCTCCCGCTTCCGGGTCCTGAGTGCCGCGAACCAGACTGTCGGGCTCTGAGGGGGTTGGGATGTTTGGCGAGGTTGAGGGTTGGCAGGGGACCCCTGACACTGTAGCTCAAACTGAGTAGGGCCAATCAATGAGCTTGAACCTCCACACCCCTTTACTCTCGGGGCACCAGCAGCTGGGCCACCAGGGGGCACCTAACCCCACTTTGTCTTCCCAGAGACTGGAGCCGTGCTCAGCTAGAGAAGTTTCCAGAAGCTTGGAGTCACCAACCTTGGCAGGTCCTGATTGCATTGGGACCCAGTGCCTCAGCCCTACTCCCAAGTTTCTGAACAAGAAACGCCTTCTTGCCCTTGTCCATCTTCCTCCCTTCCTCTACCCAGCACCTCCCTGGTACTAGCAAGTGTGGTCCCCAACAAACTCGCCTGGCCATGTGCCCTCCGGTGGTTGTGCGCCAGAGCAGAGAGGGTATGGTCTACCTCTATGCTTCCTGGCTGTATGAGCTACAGCATGGAATCCCTCTGGAGGTCTGCTTCACTTGCTTCAAGGTTGCCTTCCTGGACCTCAAAGATATGCTGGAGTCAGATGACTGGGAGGATGAAGAATGGGACCCCATGGAGCTGGATGAGGCAGAGCATGAGCAGGCGGTAGCCCTAGGGCCTGCAGCTAGCTGGGGGCCCTGGTCCTCGGTGTCAGCCTCACAGGGATCAGAGGAGGAATACCTGGATGATCCTGTGGTGCCCACCGAGCTGGAGCCTCAAAGTGCAGTGCCTCTCAGCCTGGGTTCTGAGCACAGTGACTGGACTCAGGCCCTTCCCTGGAGGTTTGAAGGGCTTCCTGCCTGCAGTCACTGGCCGAGCCCCCCTCCTCTGCAGGTGTTTCCCAGTTTGAGGCTGGCTCCTGTAGAGCCCATGGTGCTAGAGCTGGGCACCATGTGGCCATTGGAGCTGGAGGAGGCTGAGGCCTGGTTGCTGGGCCTGCAGGTCTTCTGTGTGGTAGCCTTCCAAGGTACCACCATCTACCTTCGGAAGATGAAACCATGTCAGGCCCTGAGGAACCTAGGCCAGCGCTGGAAAGTGCTGCTGGAGCCTACTGAAGTGTGGGTCCTGAAGCTCCAGGAAACAGCCCAGCCGCACAACCTGCTCAAGTGCCAGCTTAGCATCCTGGAGAAAACACAGCACAGTGAACAGGAGCAGCTGTTCCCTGCATATGCGATCCTGCAGAAGAAAGGCTTTACCATTGTGTCCTACTTGCCCCGAGGTGTGAATCAGGAACACTCAGCCCCTGGTTTGTGGTTCCCCACCTGGAGCCCAGACACTGGCTTTGTGGACAGTGGGAGCTATGTTTCCAGGAGCTCTATAGACAGCCTGGCTGTCACAGGAGTCTTGGCCCTGGGGGAGCTGTCCTCCTTCCAGCAGTTTGGCCCTGAGCTGGAATACTGAGGAGGTGAGTGTGGGAACTGGACTCACCACTGAACTAAGGATTGGACTTGTACCTGTGTTCCATACAGGCGACTGTCATACGGTTTAGAGTATCATACAGAACTGCACTTGCGGAGGTGCAAGGCTGTCTGGTGTGAGACTTGGAAGTAATCAAAGCACTATGCTCCGGCCGGGGGAAAAGGACGTTGCTCGGATGACACCACCAAGGAACACGTGGATGATCTACATGTGTTCTAGTATTTTACGGGATGGTCTCTGAAGTGCCAGGAGACCCTGAAGCAGCTGCAGTCTCTGCTGTGATGTGGGAGGAAACCCACTTTCCAGTGTTGGCTTTTTATTGTTTTACTGTTTAACTCCTGTTCCTTTTTATAGGTTTTAGTTAAATAAAATTCACATGAACATTGCACTGAGAGCTTGTGGGGTCCCTTGGCATGTCCCAGGACTGTCCTCACAAGTGTCTTCTTGATTCTGAAATCCCAGCAGGTGAGGGGAGCAGGGGACGGTGTGGGGAGTTTGTGTCATATAGGTTATTTAGTCACACACGCACAGATATGCTCAAAGCAAACGGCCTGCAAGTTTTAAACATCACTTCTCACCAAACACGGACTTATGTGCCCCAGATTAAAAAAAAATATGTATCTGTAGGGCAAACCATGTGTAAAGGATGTTAATGTCTTGAGAGACAGTGGTGCATGCTTCAGCATCTGTTTGCTCTTTAGAAAAGGTACTGGGGCCAGTTTTCAAGGGTAGAGTGTGGGGAGCACTTGGGTGACAGTTGTGTCCCTCCTGCTGGTAAGCTGAGAGTTTCCTCATTCCTCAGCGTTGACTATAACTGCATAACCCTCTGTGGTTCAAGAACAGCCAGATGTGTTATGTACATACCAGCCCCATACAAAGAATGCCAACATTCTGTACTGTAAACATGTACCCAAAGTGTCGGAGGGGTTGGGGGAGAGTCTAGCGATGTGCAGTGTTAATGTGAGTATTCATCTAGCTGCCCCCCCCCAGCCTCATGTACTTAAGGGTGGGGCTCTGGGTGGTGGTTGGACCCTGGAGGATAGTCATCAGCCGAGTAGTCCAGCAAGGGAAGGTGTCCACAGGGCCCTGAAACTGCTTGGACAAGGTCCTGTGGCCTGTACCTGGGGCCAATGGGGGAGATCCTGGGAGGCCAGGGTCAAGAGGGCTCGGCCAGAGGACTAAGCAGATGTAGCAGCAAGGCTGGGATAGGTAGGGGGTCTGTGAAACACCACAGAGGGCAGGAAGATGCCAGCGAACAGTTACCTCTGCTGCTGGATCCATCTCCTTGTGCCTTAAGCACAGTGGCAATCCTGTAGCTATCCACTCAGCTGTGCTGTTTCTGACCTTGGGCAAAGCCCAGCCTTACCTGGAATGGGAACAGCATTCTCTCTTGTTGCCATGAGGAAAAACAAGGAGTGTGCGGCATTGAGCATTGTGCTTGGTGTTTACTTGGGGTGCTACAGTGTGGAGGGGGAGGCTGGTGCTTCCGGCTCCTCCTCTGGGCCCCAGGAATTCTCTCAGCTGTGTCTTCAGGTCCAGGCTCCCCTGTTCTCTCTGGAACCATAGAACATTGTCCAGGTGCAGAGATCTCAGGAGGGCTCAGATATTCGCCTTTGTGGCTTCTGCCCTGCAGGTACTAGAGGCAGCCCTCCTGGGCGCAGTGACAAGGAGAGTGGGACATAAGTCTCAGAACAACCCTACCACAACCAATCACCTTGCTGGGAAACTGGGCACAAGCTTCAAGGAAGGGGACCTGCCTGAGTCTCCAGGTAGAAGCCCAACTGCTCTCTTCTGGGTACCCTAGAACATTTTGTCCTTAGGCAGGGCACCCCCCAGGATCTGAGGCTTCCTGCCTGGCCCTCAGGGCCCCGCAGCTGCAGCCATTGCTGGTTTGTGAAACAGTGATGCTGAGCCCCATGTGACCAGTCCCTGTGAAAGCCCCACATGCTTTGTGAGGAGGGAGCTCCTTTTGAGGGCTTAGGCCTGGGGCCTGTATTGACTGCACCTGCCCCATGTAGGCCACTGCAGTAAAGACAGCATCCAGGTAATGGCCTGACAGCTGCCATGGCTCTGTCCTAGCCTTAGCGTATGTCTTTTTAGGCCTGTGGCCTTGTGCCTGGCCTCAGGTGGGCCTCTGAGGTGTAGCATGATCATTGTCCTGGCTGTGTCCTAGCAGTGCATAGTGCAGGTGGCCTGTCCTCCAGGATGCTCTTCTGATCAGTACTCCTTATAACCCCTGAGCTTTGAGGGGAACTCCATCCCTCAGCCACGGGAAGGAGCTGCCCAAATGCAGCTCTCCATGCCAGGCTGCATGCCTGGGAGCACAGTGCCTATCCAGGACTTAGACAAACCCAGACGTCACTTTTGTGACCATTAAGATCACCACGCCCTGTCTGCCTTCCTGTTTGTGCCAGCACTACATATGCATTAATTCATTGAAATCTCAGCGGCTCAGTGCAGCTGGTTCTCCTTCCAGTTGCATTTCCCAAATGAGCAGACTGAGGCACAGAGCAGGGCAATAGCTCCCCAAAGGCCACATGGCTGACAAGGGAAGGTCCCCAGATGCACGCTAAGACAGCTGAAGTCCATGCCTCTTTGGTCATGTGTGTATCTGACCCAGAGTCCTGACTATGGCCAGAGTATGGCCCTGGGAGTAGGGTGCAGCAAGGATGTCAGAGCTGTTCAGAGTGACAAAGCAGAAAGGAGGGGCATGGCATTGCTGAGGTATGAGGAGCCCCTATACTGTTACTGGGAGCAGGCTCAAGGGTTTGACTCCAGGGTGTGGTGAGGACATGTGCCTCTGGGTTTCCCACCTCACCCCACCATCCACTCCCATGTTCCAGCACCCAGGAGTCCTCTGTGCTGCCCTACACGCAGCCTCTTCATCCAAGCCATGAGGATCCTGAATGGGCCATGTTTTCTAAAGGTCACCCATGGCACCAGGAAGACAACAGTCGTGGGCTCACAGACCTCTCCCACAGGTAGGAAACCCCCAGTGTTGATTCTGAGGACAGATTGTTCAGGTGCTGGGGAGTTTTTAGTCCCTAGTTCAGTTTGGGCATTTCCAGCCAGGGACAGCTTCTGAATTTGGCCCCATTCCTGCCAGCTCCAGCACTTTGATCACTTGGGACTACTCAGGTGTCCAAGGCAGCCACTAATTAATTGTCTACCCCTCCAAGTGGAGACCTATACAAGTTTTAATTGACTTGATTGATGCCATCGTCTCTCCAGCTGTGTCTCTGGTGAGCAGGGGACACTGGGGATCAGGACTGAGAAAGCTGTAGTGCCTGAAACTAGAAGGAAGGGAAATAGCCTCTGGGACAGCAGAGTGACTGCCAGCTTTGGGTACACTGGTAGGGGTGGGCTTGAGACCCCAACATACTGCACAGCTCAGCCTTGGCTCCTAGGGCTACCGGGCTTTGCCCACCCTTCACCTTGTCCCCCCACCATCAGGGGCCCAAAAGCCTGCTGGACCCATGGACACTCAGCACCTGGGGATGGGACCTGAACAAATGGCACCTTTGGCAAGCCTGTGGATACAGGTGTTGGCAGGGTGGGCACCTGATGAGACCCATGAAGCTGCTTCACCCACAGAGCCTCCTTTTCTATAGAACCTCGTAATGCAATTGGAAATGAGTTCTTTCAGAGAAAATTATCATTTCCAAACATAATGAACCCATTATGAGCAGAGCTTTGAAAGTCACATTTATGGAAAATGGGGCATTATGATTCAGAGTTAATGGCCCACGAAGTGAATCACAGGCAAGTACTTACTTCTTTGCAAATTGCAATGGTCCTGGGGACACCTGAGGGCAACTCTGGGTGCCTGGCTCCCATCTGAGTGCCAGGTCCTTTCTTGGTTCCAGTCTGAGGTTATTTGTATGGTAGAAGAGGCATCTGAGGTCTGAGCTCTTACCCTCTCTGTCCTCTCTTCCTGTCCCCATCACCCTGCCGCTGACTCTGGGGATAGCCCCATACCCCTACCTCCCACAGGCTCTGTCCAGCATCCATGCTGCAAGGGTATCAGTCCTTCGCTTGTGGTGGAAATGATACGGAGGACATGGTTTCATGGCCTGTGGCTCCACAGCCTGTCATCCCAGGGAAAAGGGTCGGGAGCCCCTCCTGTGTGGCCTGATTACTCATAAGGCACAGGCCTGGCTGAATGTGATGCAACCCTGGGTCACCTGCCATGGGAGGGATAGGACTGCCCATGGGTACTGCATGGAGAGACCGTCCCCATACTTGCTTGGGCATGGTGTCGCTTCCATCTGTGTCCATGAGACAGCCCCTGCTGTCCCCAGATATGGAGTTAGAGTGGAACTGGAGTCCCAGTGACTGGCCCTGTGCCCCAGATGGAAGATGCCCTGGCCTCTCCCATGCCAAAGGCACAGTGAGGGGACCCCAGTGAGGAGTGAGGGGAACTGGGACCCAGTTCCAGGTTTGGGGGCCTGGGCAATAAGGCTGCTCTGTACAGTGGAGAGGATGACAGATACAGGACATGGTTATGCACAGGCACCTGGGGAACAGCCCCCAGGCAGGCAGGGAGTCACCTGCTGCAGGCTGAGTGGGAGGAGGGGCCAGGGCTGGGGCTCTGAGCGCCCAAAGGGAGGGTGTCTGGCATGGGGCTCCCTCTACTGCAGGAGCCTCACTTCCCTACTCTGTGCAGCAGGGGGAGCTCTAAAGGGAGACTCCTGGGCCCACCTCCCTACTTCTGTACAGCCACAGTGACCCCAGCCACCAGGGCCTTGGGTGGCTTGTGTTTGTCCAGTACAACCTTGGCACCCAGCATCCCTAGTGTTCAGGCTGTCTGTGGACAAACTCCACTAGCTGGTTGCCAAGGGTGTGCGCACTCACAGGGCCAGCCCAGAGTCAGCTGGGAATTTACACAGAGACTTAACAGAGTCTCTGTTGTAGGCAGAGACACAGTGGGGCAGGAGGGGCTCCTTGCATCCAGTCTGCCCCCATATCCTATCCTAGGCCAC